AAAATTTGAAATCTCAATGAGTTTACTGAACTTCGAAAGGTTGGCGCAGGAGCTGACCATGCTGTGTTATTTTCCCATAATTGGTTGTGCTGAACAAAACCTGTTTTGCTTCAGCAGTTCTGCACGTCCATAGCATCCCCAGGGGCCAAACGAATAGCTCTGGCAGCCATGCCTGGTTTATAGCACTACCTGCTTGTTCTCTGTTTTTTTTTTTTTTTTTTTTTTCCCTGTCCACATACATAACGAAATCTGCCACATGTGCAGTTTGCACTCTTTTATAAATTGCAAGGCAGGTTTCATCATTTTGTAGTTGATGGAGCCCTGAGAATTTTCTGGTGGAGAATTCAACTGCTTTAGAAATTTTTGTGCAGGTACTTGCTGTAAATTATAGATGAATCTCTGTAGTTCTTGAGGTCGAGAAACACTGCTCTAGCAATATACACATTTCAGGTGACAGCATTCTTACCACAATAATAAAAAAGAGCCTGCACATTTAGGATTTGATATGTGCATCTATGAGTTGCAGTGAATCAATCAATCAGGCTTGCATATGCTACTCTTGTACCAAATCAGCTTACTGTGTTTTCCCATTAAGGATAGGAATTTATCTTTAGTTCAGAAGTTCATATATTAGAAAGAAATCCCTGCCATGAACCCTCTTTTCTCTACCACTGCATGTTCTCTGCATTAAAAAACCAGATGCAAGTGTGTCTGATAAAAGCTGAATTGTTTTATCAGTTGATACTTTCTCTGACCTTGTACTATATTTAGATACAGTTTGCCTGCAGAGTCAAGCAATTGGATGGGATGCTCTGTTAATACACTATAATGCTGCATGTGGGGTTAAGAGACAGCCCAAATGCACTGAAATAATTACAGGCAGTCTGGCACTCCACTCAGATTTTTAATTAAGAGTAGTCTCAGGGTAGCAGTAATGCAACCACATAGCTGTATTTACCTCTGTGTGCAAGGAACATTAAACCCAATTTAGACAGCGCTTTATAACCTCATACTGTCCAAGGGATTTTTGGCCATTGACATTTTTATCTAGTACATATGATAATTATTTAGAGATTTCAGAGATAGTCAAGGTAAGAATAAATTTGAAGAAACCTAGATTCAGAACTCAAAGGCTCAATTTTATCCCTCTATTCTGAGTAAAGGTTTTGCATGAAGGCTGTAAGACTCTGTTATGAAGGTATTGGATCATCCTTTTATTCTTTTCCCACATATCTTTAGAAAAAGAAAGAATACAAATGCTGTTAGGAAGTAACTTTATTAATTGCAAAGGCATAGTGCAGTACGCCTCTGCAGAGGTTGCAGAGATAATTATGTGGGCTTTGTTTGATATGTTGTTTACCGTATGGGTATAATGCTGTATGTCACTTCTTACCTTAAATGTTCACTTGCCATAAATAAAACGGCTTTAGCAAAAGTAAATTAGTTAGGAGCACTGAATATTCTCCAAAGTCATAAAATCAATTTTAAATTTCCAGAATGTAAGTGCCAATAGGATAGTTAACAAAGTCACCACTGATCCAAACTGCATTCAAAATGTATACTGGCGGAATAGAAGCCAGAATTTCTCTCTCTGTTTTTTTGTAAATGATATATTGGTCCATTACCAATATTTGATGGCTTAGATATGACAAAAAATTCACTAAAGAATTTGTTATTTAATATGCTATTCTGTCATTTTCTTTTTCCTGTTTATGGATGACGTACAGAAAAAAGTACAAAAGTGGAAGTTGCAGTAACACCACCAAGTGATTCAGGACCAGTGCAGAATGGGATCGCCCATAACGTGGAAGAAGAGGTTAATGTCTTTTTTACTCTTTTTAATATTAATTTTGGCAGACATATTCTGAGATTGTTTCTGCTTTTCACTGAAAGTACACATCCTAATAGTAAGTAGCTGTTGTTATGAACAGGCTATAATATGTATATTCTTCATTCTCAACAAAACCCAATATATAAGAAAATGTATTGCTATCTAAAATTTCTTTTTCTCATGCCTCCTGTGCCTTGCAGTGCCAGTAGTTTGGAATTGAATTCTTTTCAGAAATATTTTTCTGCTTATCAGACAAGAAGTTATGTCCATAGCTCTTAATACAGCTAATGGCTATTGCTTGTCTGCTTATTATCACATTGCATAGAATTTGCTCTCTTAACATCTTACAGCATCAGGTAGCTTCTGATGCTGTAATTCATGTCATAGCTAAAAGTAGTTACAAAGGAACTGTACAGGAACTCTTTGGTTCTGTTTTTGAAGCAAAATCTTGAGACAGCTAATAAATTAATCCTAATGAAATATGCTATACTGATGTTTCTTTGAGTCTCATTCATAAGACTTACTTAAACTCAGCAAAAGAAGACATTGAACACATAATTGTGTTAACATACACCCTTTGCAGACAGCAATCAGTTTATTGCATAACTGTGTTTGTCACACATCTTAGCAGGCATGGTGGTGATGGCTTTCCAGTTGGACTTGATCATCCTAAAGGTCTTTTCCAACCATAGTGATTCTGTGATTCTATGGTTTACTGAAATAGCTGTAGAGATGAGATAACTTCTGTTTAGTGGTAAAAAAGATGTAATTCTCAAGTGCAGTGGAAATTGGGTCCTCTCAATGCCTTTTTTATGCATTCAAAAGATTTAAGTCTTAAAAACCCCGCTTAATTCCCAAGTAGGCAAATGAGTGGAAAAATGCCAGTGAATTGACTTTGCTAAAAGTTCCTTATAGGAAAAGATTTGTTAAGGATAATCTTTGACACAGAAGCTTGTATAATGGTTATGTAGTGTATAATGTTTGTGCAGATGACTCCTCAAGCCTTTTCCAAAAGCTGTAGGTACACGAGAGTTACTGCAGAAGCTTGAGCAGTGGCAGGAGCTTCCCTTTGCTAGAAGGGGAATGAGATATCTTGCTTTGGCACGCAACAAAATCATGAAACAGAAAGTCATTGGATGTGTTTGCTTTTCGTTTATTAGGATTGCTAGTCTAAATCATAAACAATCTTGACTTGCTCACAATCTCAGCAATGTCACTAGCTGAGTAAAATTCTTTGCTTCAGAGGTACTGCAAGACATAGGAAAAAGTAAAAGTGGTATACAACTAACAGTGTTTATTTATTTCTGTTGGTCACTTCCCAAACACAATTATTCCTCACAAGGAATATAATTTTTCTTGGAACATACTTATAACAAGGGAAGTCATCCAGTTTTGTGCAGCTGTCTGCAAGACAGGGAAAAAACATAGTAGGATGTCCCTGGGAAGAGTTTCTGTTTGCTTTACAAAGCTAGAAGTGGAAAAAATGACAAGATAATTATGGCCATTTGCCAGCTGGTGCACCAAATATGGACAGATATCTTTAGTTCTTCACTGCTTACAGACAGTTTTGACCTCAGAAATAGGAAAAAACAGTGAATCAAAACCAAGGTTCTAAAACAGAAGGATAGTTTTTGACATCCTGAATAATCATATAATGATAATGAATCTCCTGTGAAAAGAAGAACAAAGTAGAATGTTTAATTATATTTTCTGCTAGTTGTCCAGGCTGAGAAGCCACAAAAAATACCGTCGTCAGACCAACAAAATACTTTTCTTAAGTAAACAATGTGAGTATTTAATAAAATTTTTCAGCACTCTACTTTTACAGTATTTTAACACTGAGCTTTTTAAAGTAAGTACAAATCAATTTTCAGATGTATCTGGACCCTATTCTAGAGTCTGGCTTCACCACTGTAGTGAAATACATCCTTATGTCCTTAAACTTTTTTTTTTTCAGTTTAGCAAAAAAAAGTAAGAAATACAAAGCAGTGTATTTTTTAGACTTCTTTTACTAGGACTAATATCATGGTGATATCACGGTGGCACACCTTGGCAGAACCCATTAAGTTGTGTAGAAATTATTATGCGGGTCATAGAAAAATTCAAGATCTGGAGGAAAGAAACTTCAGAATAAAACTGATTTTGCCTCATAAAGCTTTTCTCTGAGGTTGTTCAGTGGAAACAATGACAGAAAGCAATCATAAGCAATCATATCTCACAGACAGCAGTGGCCATATGCTATCTTCTTGCATCATAATGAAGGGTTTTTGAGTTTGTTCATAAATCTGCAAGGTCAAGCAACCTCATCATCCAATAGAATGGTTTAATTTCAAACAACTGCAGGATAAGAACATATTTTTTTTCAGGAATAAATTACTCCACAATGTCATCCCCCTTTCTTTTCCCAATTTCCACTAGACATCTCAAATTTTCAGTGAGGCATGCTGGGGTACTTTTATGTTAAATTCAGCAAGCGTTAGGACATTCTGAAAATGTACTGTGCTGTGTCAGAGGTGGGATGCATTATTTGCCCTTATTAGGGTGACAAAACAGACCAAGCAGAGAAGTCTGTAGCTGGTGCAGGAGTGATTCTGCAGTTCCAGCTCTGCCAATCCAAAAGAAAGGATTTTAGGCACATCCTGTCACTATAACAGATAGCAATCCCCTAATAGCATTTTGAGACAGACCATGATGGCTCCTTCCCTGGTGGCTTTTCTAATTTTGGCTTCTTCCAGTGATAACTAGACAGTTGCTTTTTCATGCTGTTTCAGTTATTGATATGCTGAAATCTGTTTTGCAATTTTTATATACCTATATCTATATACACAGACACATATATATGTAAAAAAGATTGTATATATATATATATATATATATATAAAGAGTTGTAATAATAATTAGCTGCATTCTATGTATTTAGGAATAAAAGTAAATAAAAATAAATAGATTTCTTTAGCACTTAGAACCTTACTTCCCTGTGAGGCGCTATTCATACTCTCAAACGTACAGTAATCCTTCTTCAACATATTGCCTTGCTATTTGTGCATAGCCTCTTGGTATGCTTTTCTGAGCTGTGTCATCACCCTGAAACCAGCTGTGGACCTCTTGAGATACATGGTGAAAGTTAATAAAATGGAACAGATGACAGAGATGGGTAGGAGATGACGAACAGAGAAAGAGAGAGGCAGAGAGAAAGAGACAATAAAAAGAGCAAGAATAAAGGTCAGGAGGGACAAAAGCAAGAAAAACAATATCCTCTCCTTCTCCCATTGACATCCAAGGTAAATCTGTTTACTACATCCAAGCTTGCACAGTCTGCCAGTTTCCGAAATATCCAACTGCTTCCTTAGCTGTTCATCCCCTCCAAGAAACAAGAAAGAGAAAAAATGGAAACAGATGAACTCAGCACTCCTCAGCTTCCTTCTGCTTTGTATTTTGACTTCATGGGCGCTACCAGGATTATTCCTGATTTATAATAGTGTAAGCAACACAGGATCAGATCAGAGCATCACACAGCCTTTTCTTTGATGATAGTTAGAGGAAGGGAAATTGGTCATTGCTCTCCTGAGACTTCTTTCTCGCTTTCCGAAACTTTGTACAGATGCCTCATCTCCCTAGGAAATATCATGCTCTAAAAGATAATGGTACCAGTTCTATCAAGCAGCTTTGTTCAGAGAAGAAATAACAAGTGCACAGGGTAATATGCCAGTTAATCTTTAGCAAGTTCTTCTCCTCCTCTTCTCTCCACAAGAAGTTGTTCATTACAGTGTAGTCCTGGCCAACAAACTCTTTAACTTTAGTCCTTGTATGAACCAGTATTCATCATTTGCCTCTGCTTCATGAAAAAAAAAAAAAAAAAAAACAGTTCTGGTAGATTGAATTGCTGAGGATTTTTCTTTACCTTGATTCTAAAAGAAGCACTGTTGTCTCAGAATTCAGAAATGTAGTATGAAAATCACTTCTCCTCAGTTTTACACTTGTATATGTCCAAAGAAGTGTTTTATGCGGCTTAGTCTAATGTATAAATGAAGTATAAATGCTGCTTAGTCTAATGTATTTCCTTCCTGGTGCGAGGCAGTTTACTTTTAATACCTACACATCCCAGTGATGTTCTTTTAAACTTGAAAAGACCAGAGGCACTGTCCTTCTTGGGGAATCAAGCTGCAAATTTGTCTTCAGGAAAAACTGTCCTGAAAAACACCGGCTGGGTATAGCTGTGCTCCCACAGCAAACCATTCAGTATTTCTAAAATGTGTTTGCATTGAGGATCTAGAAGATGAGCATGGGGATCTAATTCTTTCTCCTCCACTGTGAAGTTTCACTATGAGCTTTGCCATTTTTCCCTCTTGCAGAAGAAGCACAGTCATACCAGACTGACAGCCTGCATCTCATGAAGCCATGAGATGTCTGGCTTGGCAGATGAGGGGAGAGCTGACGGTATTGTTGATTTCAACTTCAGGGTTTTTATGTTTTCTCCATAACATCCTCATAGACAAGCTGTGCAGGCTAAATGAGTGGTCAGTTTTCAGTGGACTGAAAACTGTCTGAACTGCTGCCAAAGAGAGGTGTGATCAGCCACCTGAGTTCCAGCTGGAGACCTGCCACTGGCAGTGTTCCCCGGGACGTGGCAGCAGGACTGTTTAACCTCTTCATGAATGACCTAGATGATGGGACTGAATGCAATCTCAGACAAAACCAAGAGGAGTCGTTAAAACACCAGATGGTTGCCCTGCTGTTGAGAGGGTCCTTGACACACAGGAGAAATAGAGACAAACTTGATAAAGTTCATCAATGGAAAATGCCAAGCGCTACTCCGAGGGGCTTAGCCCCATGCACCAGGACAGACTGCGGGTTGCCTGTCTGGAAGGCAGCTCAGCAGAGAAGACCTGGTGGGGCCCAGTGGATACAAAGCTGAACATGATCCAGCAAAGTGTTCTTGTTGCAAAGAAAGACAACAATGGGCTGCACTAGGCTGAGTGTTGCAG